AGCAAATGAACATTCAGTCTTCCTCCTTCCACATTTGTCGTTATTTGGCATGTTCAACAAAATAAAGACTAATGGACTGAAATAGAACAGGTAATGGCTTAGGAGAGAAAACGTGATTGACAACCATCATAGCAGCCTGTTGGTATGCTACCAAGCACCATGACCGAAGTACAGTTTTGAAAAACATTGCACTGTTTTTTTTTGTTTTTTGTTTTTTTTTTTTTTGAGGGAAAGCAAAATCATCTTTTTGCAATGACTGCAACGCTTTCCAGTTCTCAAGTTTCCATGCTTAATGAAAATTTGGTTACCTCTTCTTTTCTCTGTGTGGGGATGTACGTGGGGTTACAGTTTCTGGGCTGCAGGTGCTTGTCATAGCAAGATCTCTAAAACACCAATCTAGCTGATTCATGTCAGCCAGGGCAGTGGGTCCATTTCTACAAAGCTGTGGGGAGTGTAGTTGCAATGTATACTACCTGGCAGATGACTCATGCTTTTAATGTAAGGCCAGTGTTTCCAATAATGCATAAGCTGCAACAAGAAGCAAGACTAAGAATGTTTCTTCTCTTCCATTCTTGTGATACAGAATTCGTAGGAGCAGAATTATGTCAGCAGTGGGGAAAGGGCTTTGGACTAGGGAAAAAAAAATATTTGGATTTTTCTTTTTTCTGTGCTTTAAATTACATCTTCATTTGTTTTGGTTCAGATAGCTTCTATTAAAAGTCATAGCTTATTATATATAACGTTAAACATTTTCTGCTTGTCATTTTCATGTTTTCATGAGAGTTGGCTATCTTATAAAAAGCAAATGCATTTAGCTTTCTGCCCTGTCAGCTGGTTGCTGTCTAGAAATAAGATGATTCAAAACCAAAAGCAACAACAACAACGAAAAAAACATAACTGCAGGCTACAGTGGTAAAACCATTAAAAGATGAGGTTTTCAGCAAGAAGATCTGAGCATTGGCTTTTCAGGGATGTAGTGTCTGCTACCAGAAACTATACCCTGAAGAAGGAGTTAGTTGTCAAAATAAGAGGAAAAAAAAAATCCTTCCATTCTTCTTTCCTCCTATTAGAAAGTTTCAGTTCAGACCAACAAATACAGTTCTGTAGAAAGTCTTCCAGCCTTGACTTCATTTTATGAATGAAGATTTTGTATTCTTCTCCTCTTGTATCTCAGACTGGAGTTTGAGCAATTCTTTAAGTTACAGAGATACAAAAACAAAACAAAACAAACACAATACCTATTTTATTGCAGGTATTCTGTGTTCCCTTTGTTTTTAAAGGGGTTGATACGTGCAGATATGTCCTGGTGGTTTACCATGTAGCGCCTTTACTAAGGAGACTGGTGATGGTGGAACCTTAATGGAGTTCAGGAGAGACAAATCTGAAACTCTTCTTCTGGGTTTTAGGTTAGCTTAGGTTAGATAAAGCTTTATGAGTTTAGCAGCCAGGGGCTTGGGCCTCTGAAGAATCCTGCTTTGCCTTGAATTTAATTCTCTAACGCTAATCAGTGAGATTACAGTGTTTTGTTGGTGATTGATTTTTAGAGATGACGTACCAAATTGGACTCATAGCTTTAGTTGGGGGTTTCCAGATATTAGTGATTATGGAAGGATTCAGTTATGTTGCTTGTGGCTTTTTGGTGGGTGAAATACTTGGAAGGGGAAATAAATACAGGGAGAATTTAAAGAATGAACAGTTTTTGCTAGGCACGCTGCTTATAGCAGGAGCAGACTAATTCATTTCCCTAATAAGGCTGTGCTGGAAGTTGGAATGTTTTGAATTGCATTAAATGTCACAAAAGTATTCATTGGAGAGGAACAGCTTGTGGGATGTTTGGAGAACAAATTTGATCATGTTTGTCTGGTCGAAATGAGCTGTTTACACAGACTAAATATATCTTTTTTTTTTTTTTTGAAAGAGCAAACATCTGTGATGGCAAAGTGTGCACAAACATTGTGCACTTTCATTTTCAGTATCCTGGCTGTCAGTAACTGACCGCTGTTGACTGTATTTTCACTGTCTGTAATAATTTGTAAGGAGATGGAAGCCTGGAGCTCGCTCCAGCAACCATTAGCCAAGGTCTTTTGTGTGCACTGTTTATAATAAGCATTTATACTGAGCTTTTTTGTCTTTGTTTTGTTTGTATGTTACAAAAAATATTACACAAACTCATATACTGAACTGCCAGCTTGAAATCATTCAGAAAATACCCTGCTTCAAGCTGTCCTGCTTTTCTAATAAGTAGTAACAGGGCAGGAACGTCATCTCCTTCTGAAAGCCTCTATCATCAGGTATCACTGCATCACCCCGCTTAACCGAAGTAGCATGAAATCTTAACATCTAATTGCTAGGTGGGAAACTACATGCTAACAGCTTTAAAAAAAAAAAAAAAAAGTGCAAGATTCTGTAGTTAAATTACTTCTTGCTCTACAGATTTTGTAATATCTTTCCCAATTCCAAGGGCAATAGCCAAGATGTAAGCACTGTAGCAAGTGTTTTCGTAAATGTATGTGTTGGACATGGACATGTTTTGCTCTTCAACATGAACTGTGCTTTTCCTCTTGTACTGTCTTGTCTAACCACCGTGCATTTTTCACATTCAGATCCTGGTGGCTCAGTTTGCTGGGTGAGCATTTTCTTTATGCAACGCTGGATAAATCACAGATTTTAGTCTGATTATGGTCTGAAGTCAACAAGGCCAAGCTAAACTGTTTGAAGTATGTCTGGGACACGCAAATTTATGTCCTTGTTTCAAGTATGTTTGGGGGAAATAAAGCAATGTTATGCTGTCTGGCTCCAATGTTAAAAGAACATTGGAAACATTGTAGTTATCAAGCCCCCCCTCCCTCTGACCCCCTTTTTAATGGCATTTTTAAAGACTAATTTTGAAGAATCTCTTCAGATCATCTGGAAATAGTGTTTGAAATAATTTTTGTTAAGTGCTGTATAGGTGAGCGCAGAGCCATCTCATACATTGCAAACTTAATTATTTTGTAAAACTAGTGAAGTGCATTTCTCTTGTAGACTGAAACTTCAGGGTCTAACATTTGCAAACTTTTTTTTTCCCCAGCCATGAAATTTGGGAGTTGATTTGAATAGTGAATATCTTTCTACTTCTAACTGTTAGATCGGTTTAATAAATATACAAAACATTGCAAGTTACTTTATTATAAAATGCATACCTAAAATACAGAAGAATCTTCTACTCTAGTCTTTAAAAAAGAAAGAAGAGTTCCATATGTGTTGGCATTTTTTTTCTTCTTGTTGCTTTTGTCGCTGCAAATTGACAAGTCCACAATTAGGCATGATTAACGATGCACCCTGGTGCTTTGGAGGGCCAGAGGTCAGTGTTCTCATAGGCTGCAAACTCTGTGGGAAACCGGAGAACAGACCTCTTCCTCAGAGCAGGGAAACGCTCTATCTGAGAATTATTGTTGATGTGGACATGATGCATGTCATCGACGATGCACAAATGATGAAGGCAAAGTGCAGAAAATGATATTCTTGTGAACTGTAGTTATTGGTTTATGTGGTTTATGTTGTGTTTTTTTCCTCATTATTCTCTGCTTTTTTCCTTATTTGTTTATTTATTTATTTATTTATTTTGATAATGTAGCATGTGGGTTTATATTCATCTCCTTTTTTTTTTTTTTTTGTAAGCTAGTTGCTGGACCTGAACAACAGGAAGGCTGTTGTTGGTATCAGATGGGCCTTGTGAGCCAAATGGCTTTCAGGGAACAACTAAATGAAGTAAACATTTTAATCAGCTATTAATAAGGAAAAAAGATATTTGTTAAAAGTAGAGAAGACATCACTTATATGGGACAGCATGCCTACTTCAAATCTAGCTGTCCATGTTTTCACTGCTAGAGTAGTAAGGCTGGTTTATACAGTTGATGTGTTTAATTAAAATGTAGCTTCTGTTCCCTGTTCTCCAAACAAACTTTTTTGCCTCATTGGCAAACTTTCTTTTAGATATGATAACTCAGCTTCAGTTCAGCAAAACCCTTTTTAGAAGATTTTTAGGAAATCAGGTTTGCATGATTTCAGGCAGGATATGATTAATGTTGCTTTGACCAATAAAGTTCCCAGCTCTCTGAGCAGCTACCAAATATGGCCAGAAATGTTTTGAAATGTGGCAGGAAAGCAATTTTCTACCAAAACATCAAGAAAAGACTAAATTGTATCAGCAGCAGTGTTGTCAGACAAAATGTCAGTGAGTTGGACTTTTTGTTGTTCTATTGCTTTTGAAAAAAAAAAAAATCAGGGTGTGTGTTTTTGCACATACATGCATGCAAATCTGAAAAGACAATAAATCAAGTGAGATGCTTTTACCTATCACATATTGCAAATTCAGTTTAGGTATAATGAAATCTGTTAATTCTTTATCTTCTTCGCCCTTTCCATTATGATACTTCCTTTACTTCCCACCACCCAGTGGCAGTTTCAATGTACTCATTGTTTGGAAGAAATTTTTTTGCTATCTACTGTGGAGTTCAAGTGATATTAAGTTTACCTTTGAAGGCCAGAGAATATACCAAAAGTTCCTGTATTATTTAAGTTGCTAAGCTGTTTAGAAGGACTTTTATTGTTCTAAAAGGAAGCTTTCAGTTTTAAGCCTGGATAAGGGTTATGAGCTTTAAAATGCAATTTGTCTGACCAGAACATTCTGATTTTGAAAGGAAGGAAAGCAATAAGCAAATTTTGACTATGTCTCCAGACTGGTGATACATTATTATGAATTTCTAAATGAATTAGTACTTGGTGACAAATGCTAGAGTTCCTAATATTGTATCTGGATAAATTCACCTAGTTTGTTTTTGCTTTTGCCCTATATTAACTACGATGGAGTAGGTTCAACTTGAATACTTCTTGTTTCCCTTAGAGGAAACAAATGATATAATTTATATATCTGTGGGTGGACATAGTGAGTTGGAAAAGGGAAATACTTAAATATTAAAGCATTTGTTTTTACAATTATGTGTGTTTTTCTCTTTCAGAGTTGCTTCTGTACCAAAACCTGATCTCATTCATGTACCAAAGGTATGTTCATCATCACAACCAAGAAATGTAGCATGTGGCACTGTTACCCATCTGTCAAACCCTGTTGTTGATAAGCACTAGCATTCAAACTTTCCTTTCAATATAACGTGCTTGATTTCCATGTGTTACGTTAAGACTACTGCAACTTTTGGATCTGAGTGATACTTTTTTTAACTCACTCAAAAAAGAATCAAGAGAACTGGCAAATGATCATCCACAAAAAAAAAAAAAAAAAAAAAAAAAGTGAATAAATGTTATCTTCCAACTTTTGGGGCTTTTTTTTTAGAAAGATAAAGCTGAAATTTTTCTATATCCTCAAGAGAAAAACTGTAGTAGGGTTTTTTTTTTTTTTCATAGGCACTGTTTTTTTTTTTTCTTTTTCTTTTTTCTTTTTTAATAGGCACTGAAATCCCCCTTTGTATTTGAAAGAAGCTTATCTAAATACAGAGTTTCAAAGAACAATTCATCTCACTTTACTTAGAGCCCTGGGGGTTTATTTGTTCTTGACTTCTTTTAATGTTATGTCCTCAAGCAACAGTTTCAAAAAACCCTTTTCATAAGTAGTCTATTTACAAACCTAAAAATGCTTACAAATGGCTGGGCATCTCTCTCATCAAGCATATATTGGAAAATCCTCTTAAGTGGACATAAATAATTGTATTACTGTCCTGCCAGACCTGATTTGAAAGGCACGCAGTTTGGCACCATCTTGTTAAAATACAGCTCCTTGAAAACAAACAAGCAAAGAAAAAAACAACAACCCACTGAATTCACTTTTTTTTTTTGTTGTTGTTGAGAGTTTTGATTTGATGAGTGTATATGGAGACTTCATTGGACAGATGGAATAGAAATAAACATTCTCAGATGCTAAAATGAGTTAGGGGGCTTTCTTTCCCCTTTAAGTCACCTCACCAAACTTGACAAACTACAAAACTGGACGTTCACTGGACGGCAGTTGTCTCTGTGAACCACTTAGAGCTGAGTGGTTCTCCTGTATATAAAAAATATTCTGGGGAGATTATGTTTAAGAAAAACTGATAAAATATTCTGGAATAAGTTGGAGGTTGTGAAGGGATTGTTTTGTTTTGTTTTTTTTCTTTCTTTTTTTTTTTTTTCCCCATCGACAGTTGCCCTAAAGAGAACTTTATAGAATGAGAGAGAAAAAGGAACAAATGGCTGCTCCCTCATATCTCTGACCCCAGGATAGCCACACTTTTGTTTTCCCATGTGGCTTTAGTATGTCAGATGGTATCAGTCTTGCACTTCTCCATCTGGAAACTATAACCCATGTCGACCTTGAGTTACAAAGTTGTGACTCAGCCACTCAAGTGGCACCTGGTCCCAGTGTCTGAAGCAGGGATAGGAGCCAGCCTGTATTTTGGCCAGGGAAGCCTTTGTCCTTGTAGTCGAGTGGAGTTGACAAGCCAGCTTGGGCCCGAAGCACTGGCCTCTAATAAATGAGCTGAAGGGCCCCTTGTTCCTCCCTTGAGGCCCCAATCAACAAATCAATGTATAGTGTGTGTGTGCGTATGCGTGCACATGCAGTTTGCATATTGGGAACGTGCATATCTTGAATTGGGTTTGAGAGGTGGAATGTGGTTTTTAAAAAACACTAATTTTTTCCACATGAATTACCCAGTGGGTTTTGCAATGGTGTGGTTCTTCAGTTTGTCTTGAATTTGATTTGTGGGGTGTCTGTTCTGGATGTGATGTGAGGAGTTAGCATCATGGGATTTCATTTTGACTGACTGTGCATGCTTGGGTCATTCCCTTTCCTAAATGCATGGCTCATTTTTTTCTATGTGCTTGTTGACAACGCTCTTGGTAAAGCTTGCTTCTGTGTTGTTCATTCCTCTTACTTCACACTAGGCGGATTGCCTCTCTCAACAGCACTGAAAATACGTTCTGAGGAATGTGCATGTGGTTGGTGTGTTTTTGTGTGTGCATTTTTTTTTTTATCTCACATAGGAAGAACCTAAAGAAGTAGTTAAGCCTGTGCCCATTGCCTCTGCTGCTGCACCCAAATTCACTGCCACAGCCAGCGTGGCTTACAATAAGACCCCGAGGCCCTTCGGAGCTGTGACCTCCTCAAAAGTCACCTCCATCCCATCACCATCCTCCGCCTTCACCCCAGCCCAGGCGGCGGCCGTGCCCCCCGCCCCGGCCCCGTTTGCTGCACCAGGACTGCATGTTAACGCCAAGCCTAACGCTGACGGGTGGCCACCCGCGCCGAGCACTGCTAAACCTGCCGTTAATGTCCCACGGCAGCCCGCCACGCACAATGCCGCCCCGAGCGGCCATGTCAGCGACGGTGCCCAGGAGGTGGCGGAGGGGCCGCGACGAGGATTCAGAGAGAACCAGGGTGACAGTAAACAGCAAAATGGGTAGGTGGGATTTTTTTTTTGCTGTGAGGGTCTTTTCCTCACAGGAAAAAAGCTGGGCTTGTTCGAGGGCTGAGGAAAACACATCTCGGGTGTGCCACCCAATTGCCAGAAGCAAATCTTTGAGGAGCAGCATGTCTTGGAAAAGGGGTGTTTTGAAGGGCTGAGTCTGTGAGGATTTAATACTGAAACTGTACCAGTTTATGGTGTCACACCTAAATTACAACAGACCACACCAAGATGGGTTGTATCACGATGTGTTTCAGACCTTGCAACAAGCCCAGCATTCATTTGGACACCTGTGTCTCACTGTGTCTGTTGGGTCCCAACGTGGAGGCTGAAAGCAGCAAGCACTTGGAGGTGGAGAGTGGCCTGTCAAGAAGGATCGGCGACCTTTGATGTTGATCAGTATTGACCATCTTCTTGCATTTTGGGTTTTCTTGACTTATTTTCAGTCTCAAAAACTTAAAACCTGAAGGCTGTGACTAGTATTTCCCATTCTTCAACGGAAAGGGGCAGGAGGAGTAGGCCCAGTGCCCATCTCATCTGATCTCCTCTGAGCCTAAGTATATGAAGAAACCTACAGAAAGGTACTCATCCACATCAACTAAAAAAACAAATCACAGTTTCAGGTGGTCTTCTCATGGAGAGAAACGCTTCTTTACGCACCCTTACATCGCAGTACTAGTATTTTCTATACACACATTCATATAAAGCTGCCCGTATGCATTTTATATGACACCATTGTCATGGTGATTTTAAGACTAGTCTTAAACAGATGATGGCAGGAGTCCATACTGCGCAGAGGTGGGATGAAAGCAGGAGATCCCAAGGACTTGCTTCCTGATCACATGTTGCCAAACTCTCTTTCTTTCTAGGAATGCTGCTTTACCAAGTAACACGTAAGGAGTATTCAAAAGCAGTAATCAGTACGGAAAAAAAATGAACAATAGCAACAAAATTAAGTCTCCTGGAAGGAAGTGCTGGAGGCATAAAGTAAGCACTTAATGATCAAGACAGGGTCACTGGGTGCACATTGGTACCTGCCCTGCCTTATGTTTAGTGAATGAATGATAGTGACTGAGGAGTATCATTGCTGGTAGGTTAGGAAATCCCTGTCTTGCTGCCAGCCATGCAGGTCTGGTTTGGGAAATCTTAAAAGCATTTGGAGCTGGGGAAAAACAAACACACAGCAAGAACAACGAAACATCAACTACAAATCAACAAAACTTTATTTTGCTATCTTTCTTACAGCGGAGTTTTAGCTGGAATTAAATGTGACTTAAATACCAGTCTTGCAATCCTAAAGTAGAATACAAACGCAAATGAACAAAGAAACGTTAAAGTGATTATGTTGATCTGCAGCTACCCAACGTGATAAAAAAAAAAAAAAAAAAAGTTTGCTCCTGTTTTGTACTCCCTTTTTCAAAAACAAACTAACACAAAGAAAGGACAACTTGTATATTTGCATCTTGTTTATAGTTAGCTCTGCTGAGCGAATACAATTCTCCAGACACAGTACCCTGTTGTACTCAGAATTTTTGGTTCCTTCCTTCCTTCCTCCTAACTTCCCCCTAATCCATTCAGGATATAAATTATTTGCCTTTACTTCAGGATGGGGAAGGAAGTTGTATTTCTCTTGTTTACTCCTGGCATAAAAAGAGACCAATTTGGCTTCGCTAGGCTGTATACAATTGTATTTTTATCAAGACCTTCTTGACAACTCTCACTTGAGAAAGTGCTTGCTGCTTAAAACAGGTAAGATGTCCACAGACTTCACTCAAAATTTTAACTCAGCTGGACTAAGTTTTTCCATTATAGGTTCTCTTGATGGTTTAAAGTTTGACTCTGTATATATGGCTTTGCCATAGCTTGGATTTGGAAGATCCTATAATAAATATTTCAAGAAGCAAAAAATGTATTAATGAATGAAAACCTTTTTTCCCTTGCAGATAACAACAGTGACGAAGTTAGTATCAACAGCACTGGAGTTGAATTATGGTCGTTTTTCTTGTTGGAATAACCAGCATGTATTATTGTTTTGCAAACAAAACTATGTTATATAAAGCTCTTACAGAGTTTTATATTTAAATTTTGCAAAACAGCTTCAGCTTTTTTTAGTAACTTCTTAGTGTAGCTAATGGTTTTGTCTGCATTGAAGATGATGTGATTTTGCTTTTCACCGTGTTAAACTTCGCAGCATTTTTTTTAATTATAATTCCAGAAAACATTCGTGTGGTGTTTGTGTGTATTGGTAAATTCTTGCTGCACCTATGGCTAATTGGTGTTGGCAATACAACTAGTAAATGGTGAAATACAGTATAAAAGGAAAAATGTCTTGAGGAGTATGGAATGAACGGCCAGATGTTGAATTCGTACAACAAAAATAATAGCAACATCTGTACATTATGATTTATGCGATCTGTATTTTGTGATTTTATGAGATTTTACTGGCTTGTCATTTCTGCTCTTGCCTCAAGAGTGAGTCAAGACTGAGCCGGTCTCATTGAATATTCCTTTGTCTCTGGCACCACCTCGTGCCTTAGTGACTCATTACCATCAAGCCTTTAAAAAAGGAAGCGGTGGGATCCGCAAAAAGAAAGTGAGGGGAGAGAAATCAGCAGGATATTTTGTTTGATACCACTATCATCAAGTGTGAAAGACTACTTATTTCACTGTGGTAGTTGCTAGAATGCAGTCATCTGCATGTAAATAATTACATTTCCATGTAACTCTACATCTTTAATGACTGCTTTAATTTTCAGATTTTATTCTTGCTATTAACTGTGTTGTTGCTTTACTTCATTTTCTTTGGATTTCTTTTACTCTGTCCTGGAAATACCACTATTATTTCTATCCCCCCTCCTTCCTGGATAAGTACATTTACTTCACTAATATTGTGTGTAAATTCAATCTTTGCTTTAATTTTGAATGATAGCTTTCATATCATTCAGGTGTCGAGTATTCTTTTAAGTATTTATTAATGCATTCCATTGAATGGGACTAATTCTTTCTTGTTGACAATAATGTACAACATTCTCATTCATATATTCCACCTTTCTTTACTAGAAACACTTTGGCCATTAAAAAAGCAGTGAGGAAGTAGTGGCAAAAATAGAAGTTGACTTTTAAAAGTTTTCTTTTTCATAGAATTATCTTTTCCTAGGAGCTAGTTTTGTACAAGTTATCTCCTCTAGACTTTGTAAAAATAAATGCACATACAGAGGGCCTGAAGGATAAATGTTTTGAGATAACTAATACAGAATTTAGGAATACATTAGTAGGAATCTTGGGTTCTTTCCCTTAACTGATCAGTGTCTTTACTTGTTCTTTAGATCATTTACTTCAAGTAAAGCTTCAAAATCCTCTGTTTTCATAGGTCTGCTAATCCAGGGACTGATAATAGCATGTAGGTTATTGAGGAGAATAATTCCAGATGAAATCAACACCCTACTTGTTTGACTTTCAGAGAGCATCGATAGCTTCATGTTACGCTCTAGAGCATCGCTAGCTACCTTTTCAAAATACACAGCTCCATCCCCGGTCGTACCAATTGCAAAAAACTTTGCATGTACTGGGTGACCTTGCACATACCTAGTGCTTTGCCTCCTGTGAACGAAGGGGAGAATTTGTCCAAGGCACTTAACCAGATCCTAATTGACTGCACTGTTTTATCAAAACAAAGTCCCTTCTTATTCCTGTAAGGTACTCACTGTAGGTTAAATTCAAATTAAAGACTGAGAGCTCTGTACTGAGGTTTTGGTAGCAGAATGAGAATATCACTGTTTATTGGGTTTCAGTGTCCTTTCCCATGAGATTAATTCAATAGAATAATTAGCTGTACTTTTGTTTCAAGCTTCTTACTTTATTTCTTGTTTTCTTTTTCTCTTTTTCCTGTTTACACTGGGAAAACTTTCTCTTGCTGTCTTATTCTGTCATCTCCAAGGAAAATCCCACCCAAACGGTAAATGTTTAAATATGTAAATGCCTTGATAATACTGATTTTTACTGTTTCAAATGTTCCAGTAGTGAAACAAAGAAAAATATTTTAGTTGGATTAGAGTAATTATTAAACTGTATCTGGTTCAGAGAACGGAGCCTGCATTCAGATGTGCTTGTAGAGCTCACCGCTGTATCCAAACTCAGAAGCTGCCTTTAATCACTGTGAAAAGCCACATATCTGACAATGTCTGTGTAGTTACCCTAAACTAGATATTTGTGGAGTTTTTAGCTCACTATTCTCTTCTCTCTTTGATGCAGCCCCCCGCGGAAGCACATTGTGGATACTTATACGGAGTTCTACCACACCCCTACTCACAGCGATGCCAGCAAGAAGCGACTGATCGAAGACACTGAGGACTGGCATCCCCGGACAGGCACCACCCAGTCACGCTCCTTCCGCATCCTTGCCCAAATCACCGGCACTGATCACAGTGAGTAGTTTGATGTTAAAGAAATAAAAGTAATGGCCTTGGGCAGATAGGTGTTTTTAAAAGCTATTGGGGAGGGGAAATAATAAACCAATTCAGTCACATGTATTACATTTCACCTCATGGATAATAAATCCAGTAGGGAGAATTTTGGTGAGCTTTAAAAGGAAAACAGTTTCAGAAGACTATAGTAGGAAAATATTTTTATAAAACTCTTGCAATTGCTAAATACCTCAGGACATATACATTACTGGACATTATTCCTGTTTGACTGGGATTTTAATGTTCTAAATAACCCTTAAAAATAGCCTTTACTCCTAAAGAAGTTGGCAGATATGTAGTTATTTCTTTCCCCCCCAGCATCACCAAAATGGCAACACTTCTGTTCAAATTTAATGCCTCAGAAAGTGCAAAGAAAAAATAAGGCTTTTTCAGGCATGTAGAAAATCTTTGATGGTCATACAAAGGTGTACTATCTGCAGTGATTTTAACCAGTCAGGAGCACAAATCCATAGCTCCTCAGTTTATTTCCATCCTTTGTTTATGATATGCTACAACTACATGTCCTATGGACTGGAACTGAAAATGCAGAGGTGGTCTTTCCCAGTCGTATAGTTTTATGATGAAACTTTAATTTCATGTTATGCTCTCAGTTGTGATTTATTGTCTGTGATCTATAACACTGTAAAAGTTGTCAGAAGTGCTATCAGGACATTGGAGGTCTGTCATGTTCAGACTGGGGTATTTCATTCTTCTGCTTTTTACAGCTAATACTAAAATAAGTTGTTATTTTCATAATACTAAAATTAAGGCAGTGAAGACTCCCTCCATGGGGGCAGATTCAAATATCAGTTCTCTGGCAGAATTGCACTAGACACCACTGATAACATCTCCCCTGTGAGGATTAATGTACATGGGTGAAAAATATTCTGAATTTGGACAGTTAACAGATTGCTTTGTGGTCCTGTGTTGCACTAGTAATGCATCATTATCTATCTTTGGATTCTCTTCATTAATCTGTTTTAAGGGCAGAATATGAGACCTGAATGTCAAATAACCTATCTGTGTTCTAATCTAGTATTGATAAATTAATCATGTTGGCAATTACTACAAGACCATGATGGCAAGTATGTTTGCCAAACTTACAGCAGGGCTGAAATTTTACATTATCCTGTCTGCAGTTATAGCCTGTCATCAAACAGGTGCTTGGATTGTCACCTGATATAAACCCTCTGGATGTTTGTCCATAAGAAATGCCTCCAAACTTCCACTCCTGTTCACCCTTCTCACACCTTTCTCAATGCCAACATGGACAGTGGGCCAAGGGACAGGACAGAGACCAGCAATTGCAATTGTGCTGGCAAAGGGGCTCTTGAAGTTTATAGACATATCTCATTTCCCTTAGGGCATATTTAGAATTGAGGAGTCCTAACGATCCTTGTTGTAATTTCCTACTGGGGTGAACGCTTTGGCACAGGGGAGAATCTCGGTGTTTGGTGGTGCTGACAGTGCCATAGAAAGTCAAGATTTTCTGTTTTCTTTCAGTGAAAGAACCAGAACATGAAGCTGCAAAGAAGACTAAGTGAGTTGATGTTTTACATTATTACATTAATAATTTGCATGTCTTAATTCATAACTGATAGTGTGTTACTTTTGCATTTGTGTGATGTCTGGGTGTTTTTAAAATGTTGCTTCTTTTATTGCCTTTTACTTCAGCATGTAAAAATCAAGATCTCTTTCTGCATAGACCGGCCTTTTTAAATCTGTTTGTGCAGTCTGGTATTAATGTTTGCGCAGGAGTTTGAGCTTTTCCATAAACTTGGACTGGTTTGCTTTTCTGTTCGAGGTCAGCTTGTCAACATGTTTTCTTTTCCTAAATCTAACCAGGCATTTTTGACTTGTGAGTGTGGATCAGATTTCAAGATGTAGCTGGAAAATATTACCATTCTAGATGGCGAACAAGGGTCAGCTGTCTCCTTGCTTTGGGATAAGCGTTGTTCAAAATGGGGACCAACTAGTGGCTAAATCTAACAGCTTGTGCAGTTGGTGGGAGTCTTCCTTTAGACTTTTAGACTGTGTTAGACTTTGCCTAACGCTGGATCCGACAGTTTGAAAGACAGGAAGGAGATGTATAGATATCAGTAATGCATGGAGATTGCATGCTCACTTGTGAAACTGCTTAAGACAAACCTTTCTTTCTTTCTTTCTTATTTTTCTTCTGTCACTTCTTTCCACAGGGAAAAGGTTCCCATGCACGTCTTTAGCCCCAAATACACAAAATTACGTGACTGGCACCATGAAGTCTCAGCACGTGTTCTTAATGTCCAGTGATTTTACCCAAGTTGCAAAAGCAAAATACAAACACTTCTTTTCTTCTTTTCCATCTGCTTTGCAAAAAAAAAAAAAAAAAAAAAAGGAAAAAAAAAGAAAAAAAAGAAAAAATATATTTCACTAGCCTTACTGCGAGAGAACTTCTAGCCTTTTCTATACTTTTCTAACACTTTCCTACTGATGTATAAAAAATGAGATGAAAATGTTTTTGTGCTAATCACTAGTTGACAAAAAAAATACATATTTAATGCAGAACAACTTGGGTGGTTGAATCTCCCAGAGAGGGAGAGGAGATGGCTGTTGCTGTTCTTTTTGCCTTAAAGGAGTCTTGCATTGCTAAGTTTGAATTACTGTAGGTTGTTAGAAAGCAGATAACAGTGAACAAGAAATGGTATTTCTTTGATTCGGGGGTGGGGAAAAGGATGAAGAGGGCTGTCTGCATCTACTTCGGACTATGGTACTTAGCAGGATAATTGTCTTGGATTTCACTACATTTTCAGCAGATCAATTTTAGAGTGGTTGTAAATGTTTTACAAAGTAGAGCAAGGTGACAAGCTGCTTTTAATCAAATGAAAAAAAAAAAAAGCAAAATAAATTAAAAAAAAAAATGCCAGTTGCCAACCCCAGTACAAGCTTAGTATAAAGATTCTGCTGCTTTAAATAGTAACTTGTTTATATCATGAAAAAATTAGAAAGAAATAAACAGAATGTTGCCATGTACCTGTAAGAGCTTTAACACAGCCTCTAACAGGAGCAAGATAAGACAGTAGTATTTATTTATTTCAGAGTGAATCTCTTAGGATTTCTTGTGTTTATAAAAGCTTCCTGGCTCTATCGTTCTCCTGTAAAATAATGTATTATAGTAGCTACACATTCATTAATTTATGCTTTCTGAAGCTTGAAGAGTATTTTAATAAAAGTTGCTTTTAACTTAGTGATGTCTCTTTTCTTCTGAGTCTCTCGGACTCCTTGAGTAGTCTTCTCATGCAAGGGGCTATAATTTCATTACACCTTCACAAGTTGTAATAAGAGGAACAATAACATCCCTTCTGCATACTAGAAACAGTCTGAACTGTACAATAATATCAAAGTAACAGTTTCTGATCATGTTTAAAAAAAAAAAGTGTCTTTTTTGTGTTTTGAGAATTGTCACAAGATTCACAGAAATCAATAAAATGTTTGACCTTTTGGGGGACAGCAGAAACAAGAACTTAGTTAAGTAAAGCTCACTGCCAACTTTTGCAACATTTTTTGAATCACAGAAGTTTCAAACCTCAAAGGTGAACTGTGAAACACACATAAAAGCCCAATCATTTGTAATTACCTAATGCGAACCACTGCCATTGGCTTGTAGCTTGTGCAGCAAATCTACACGTTGTTCTGATGAAACTGGTCCCGTGAATAGACTTGACGTTCACTGTAAACACTTCTGCAGAAATAGTAGGGTAGTGTTTTTTGACTTTTTTTTTTATTTCACAACTTGTGAGAACTGAAGTGGATTGAGACCTTTGATGAAAGCACTTTAAGCTTGCGTTTCCTTTTCAGATTGTTTATACTGATACACAGTACAGTAGCTTACTGTATTTGTCATTTTATCTTTAGGGAAAACCAAACAGAAAATGGAGAGCTCAGGTAATAGCCAAGTTATTTCACACTAACAAGTCACTGATGTGGATGCTTAACGACGCACATCATAAAGTAAAATTAAATTTTTACTAATGACAGAAAAAGTCTTCTCACATCTTACACAACTTTTGGTTTAACTCCTTAGGGACAGATGTTGAAAATACTCACTTTGATAATTTCACTGAAGGCTGTTTTGATGAGAAGTGCCAATCAGCTTGATTTTTCTCTGCCAAGTAACTCAGTTGTCTGAGTACTGTGTATTAAAACCAAGCATTTCTGAAGTGCACATATACCGCAATATAATCATTTGACAGAATACTGTGTAACGTAAGAATGTAAAACTGTGAAAATTGTTCTACTGAGTTTAAAGAATTTCTTATGAATGGAAAGGAAGTCATGAGTTTCACAGAATATCAATACAATGAAAACTGAAAGATTATCACTTAGATTTTCTGTGACGTTTTCTCTGTGTGGTTAGAATGGTTTAACCTTCAAGTATTTTTGTATTTTGGAGATGTTCCTGAATGAGAGGTAATAAGAATACCTTCATGTTGCTATTTAACACACCACTATGTTTATATTTCTTAGTAATTTTGTCCCTTTGAAGGTTGAGTTGCTTTGCTGAAAAATGGAAGAAAAAGCCTCTCTAAATAATCCAAAGCATACAAGTCTCTGTTTTAATTAAAAGTAAATATAGACAGTCATGGAGTCTGTCTATGGTGGGTGTGAGAATAGTTTGAGAAAGGCAACCTAATATAAATTCATAGTAACAAAACACTAGTTCCCAAAAATGTTACATGAATGCGTAAAACGGATTTCACTCTCTGCTGTAAAGTTGTCATCTCTTCACCCAGTATCTCCATTGCACAACACTTGTTGACATTAAATTTTGGACTTCATTACTGTTTCCAAAACAATGGACTGCTTTTCCATTTGGATGTGGATAACATGCCTTAGCTCATGTCTGATTCCTAGTATGTGTCTGATCTTTGAAAAAAAATCTGAAAAATCCTGTTTTTGATATAAATGAATTAACTTAAATGTGATTACATAGAACAGAGAATATGAAAAACAATGGAATAGAAATTTCCATCAGTAATCTGCAGACAATGTACCAATTTAATAATACTACAACTTTTCAGGCACTGTCTAAGACAAATAGATATTTTTTTAAATTATTATTTATTCCTAAATTATAGCCTGCTAGTGATATTTATGTGGTTATATATATTTTTTTCTTTTCCACTACTTCTTTTCAGCACAGGAAATTGGAATAGAGAGCCCTCAGTGAAATGTGTAAACTGCAACTTTTAAGCAAGATACTTAAAGTTTAGAAAGGCAAAGTCTGGCCTTTATGTAAAGCTAATTTGCATGTTTTAGGAACTGATTAGTTCTAACTGCACAGTACTCTATTTCAAAGTATGTTGATGTTCACCTTTAACAATCTAATTTTGAGCCACAGATTTGTTTTTTGGCCTTAAAACATAAAGTCAGCTCACTATTCTGAGTGAAGATGTGTCTGGATTTTTCCAGATCTATAGTTTAGCTAATCCACAGCCACTGGAAAATATTTGTCCTACTCTTGGTCAGTACTGAAATAACCTGTCATAAATCATGTGATTCTTTTACTTTTCCCTTTGTGTTATAAATACTTGTAAAGCATACCTGCAGATCTGCATAATGGAGCAGGAGCCCAGGATATTTCTACTAATCTGAGTAAAAACTCTGTAGCTACTCAGGCTTTGGAGATACCATCTGTACCAGAATTTCCATCTACACCTTTACCACCTATGAGGTCTGCTACCTGGTCTTTCCTAAATCATCTGTTCATTAATTCTTGGCACTCAATATGGGTCTCTGCTTTATTAAGATTCATAATTCTGCATGCTAATTTAAATAAAAAATAAACCTGACTTACGTGACTTAGTCTGCTCAAAACTTGTGCTCATAACTCCTCTCTACCTTGTAGTTCACTTTTACTTCTGTGTATTGCAGTGAGATTTCTGGTGGGTGCTTTTCTTCAAGTAGATAGCCTTTAGTGCAATATGTTTTAGACTATTTTCTTGTCCAAACTGGAAAAAAAAAAAAAAAAGCACACATATATTAAAAAATATTAAGTAACCTTCTAACCTTCACAAAACTAATATCCTAAAAAAGTTGCAGCAAAACATATATAAAAATTCAAGGAGTGAAATCCCATCATCACTTGTGGCTCTTTCTTTTCCGGTATTTCCTAAAAGGTTTCCATCACATAGTACAATACCAAATACGTGTTTTCTATATTTGTCAATGTAAAATACTGCTGAGTTTTCTAAGTTTACAAGAAGCAGGACATTTCCCAACCTTCACTAAAAGTGTGACACGTTCCTCATTTTGTCCCCTGTTTTTATTTTGCTATAAACTGCAGGTTTTTACAATTCACTTATGTTTTTGAGTACAATGTCTTCTTTTCAGCATACTGTTTCAGTATGGATTAAAAATCTCTTTGTGTGTTTTGTTACTGTGAATGGAGTGAAAACGGTGCTAGACCAGAATCTGCAGCTGCTTTTCTGCCGATAGCAGAGTCCTCCCATTGCAGTGCCCCCTCTCCCAGACCTGCTGAACATGTTGCTGCAACATCTTCGGGGAGGTAAATCATTCAGAGGTGGTTTCCATTCATTTGTGATCTGTCTATATACTGTTCTAGCCCAGATTTTGTTATCTTAGGGGAGAGAGGGTTGTCTGTCATTCACTTAAAAGCGGCTCATTAATGTTGTGTTCATTAGGGATATTCCTGATAATGGCAGAAAGAGGATGGTGAAGAGCAGTAAAATATAGCTGAGCAGATTCATGAACAGTTTCATGGAGATGTTAAAAACAAAAACAAAACAAACAAACAAAAAAACGTAGTACATATCGATATGTTGTCAGTAGAGTCCCTTTCATCTCCTGAGGGGCATAATGGTTCACTCAACTCACAAGTAGTTCAGTGTTGTTTATATTTTTCTAACATACAGAAAAGTGCCTTTAAAAGTAGTAATTTTTTTTAAGGAGGATGATGTTTTTCATAACACTGTACTGTACTATGATGCCATCAAAGAAAACAAAGCTATTTGGAAAATATCCCAACACTGGCTTTGGATAGATACACTGGCAGTGAAACCTGATGTTTTGGAGGTCATCTTTGGGTGTAAGGCTGTGACAGTAAATTTTTTTAACACTATTATTGAAATTAAATAACATTTTTTGACAGATTCTGTATCACAGTTCAGGAGGGATTTTTATTTATTTATTTATTTTCTTTTCAGATAGCTTATGATCATTCACACACAAACATAAAGTTCTAATACTAAACAAAGCTGCTGTTTAAAAAGAAAAAAAAAAAGATTGTATTCTTTTTCTTCCTGTGTGGGAATGAGAGAAGAGAAATCTTTAACAACTAGAAGAGATGTTTTATCTTAGGGTGGGTTGCACTAAGTGCTGTTTCCTGTCTTTTACTTCCACTGCAATGTTTAAGATCCTCTTAATGAAGAACTTCTGCTTAACTGCATTTGCACTTATTCTTGTGCTAGGTGATTATCAGAGTACAGGTGGACTTAGCAATGGGGAAAAGAGGACTTGTGGGAGGAGGACTAGCACCTTTTTTTTCACATTTGACCCCCCATATTGACACTTTGCACACTTTATTCCCATCCTTGGGAATGACGAAGGACTGATAGCTTCATCAGGGACCCCAGCACTGACTTCATTAACATTCACCTGCAAGTCTTGACAGGCAGACACATAGACACACTCACACTCATGGATGTTACCCCTTGTAAGCAGTCTTGATTACTTTTACCCTTTTAAAAATTGCCCGTTAATGTAAGGATTCATCTGGTCCAGGGTCTTCTGCCTTCTTGACTGGCCATAGAGATGCGGCTTCAAATCAAAAGTATTAAACCATATCCAGAGTAACTGTTTCACAGACAAACAGAAGACAGTCATCAGGATGATGGCATGGTCATTTAAATTCTAGATATCAACCTGAATCTTAGTGATCCTGCTCAGGAAGTGATGTATCAAGCTAGGTGAGATATTCTTGTCCTTGCAGTTTATAAGGCATGACAGGACTGCTTGCAGTGGTAACCTAAGAGTACTGTGTTAGCACAAGAAGTCTCTCCAGTTGGGTAAGTTCTTCATCTGTGGTGTGACTGACAAGGTAATATAGGATGGTTTTGGAGTTTTGAGGGTTTTCTTTGCCCAGGATAGATTGTCTAGTAGGTTGTTGCCATGCTCTTCACTTCGCCAGAGAGCAGAGTTCACTTTCAGAGACACTCAATTTGATCCATTTGGCGTTATCAGAATTTCATTATTTGTGTAACTGGTTTGGGAAGACTTCAACTCCATCACAAGATACCAGTATGTCAGGGTAGGCACAGGAACAGCTTTTGAGTAGCAGATAGCATGGTCATTTGTAGGACACCAGGGGGCAGCTTAGATTCCTAAATAGTTCACAGATATTTCACAGTAACTGCAACAAACAAAAGAGTATTTCCAGTAAATTTAATTTTCTTGGGGAACTTCCTACTTTTCAGCAGTTGTGCTTGATAACAAACAGAAAACCCCTTGTTTTATTTCACAAATGTTTTGCACCTTCAGCTCTACCTGGGTCTACAGTGCAGGTTGTGCTCCCTTGGTGTCTGACTGAAGTGCACCTGCAAGAGAAATGCAAACTGAGAAAATAAGGCTTCTGTGTGTCTGAGCAAGTAATATCATTGTGCCTTCTCCTGAATACTTCTGTTCTTTGCTAATGAAATGCAGTCCCTAGAGGGAAGAAATAAAAAGCAATTCGGTAATCGATTTTCATCTCTACCAGTGAAAATCTAGTGTGATGACACATACGGAACTGCAGATGCCTTGCAGGTACTGGCACAAATACCATCTTCTGAGTACTGAGAAGTTCTTAGTTCCAAATCTTTCCAAAGTTCCAGTTCTTTCCAAATCCCATCTCTGGTTCCTGTGTCCAGGGAGAGTAAATTAAAGTCTCCTGTCTTTCTGGACCTGTGGCTACAAGTTTATTATAGATTAACTTAGCACGCAAGCAGCTTGAACCATGGAAAACTGGGAAAGGACAATTCCATCCCTCTCCATCCATCTGCTTTGTTCGAGGCTCTTGTTTTATCTGGAAATTAAAATACTGTTATTTGCCTCAGTTTCATCTCTTATTTCATTTTATTTCATTGTTATAGTCATTCAAAGATGATGGAGAAGGTGGAATTTATTTGAAGGTGTGGAGGATTTGTGGGAGGCTATTTCCAGAAAGACTTCTGTGTATAGCTTATATCACAGGTGTGTAGAGGAATCTGGAAGGGACTTCCTTTGTAGCCTGGCTTCCTCTTATCTTACTGAATTCTCACGTGGATATTCTCCTTCGCAGACCAGTCAGACTCAAGGTATAGTGCTTGTGTGCCTACGTGAGGCTCTTATAAAACAAATTAATTCTGACATTTGGTTTTGGTTTTGGAATACAGAAGTAGTTTAGCATGATTTTCTTTCTCATTGATTTTTTTCCTCCACATTTTTCAAATGCATTATACGGCTAAGTTTTCAAACTGCTTTAAGCAAGATGTGAATCTTCTCTTTCTTTCTGTTTTTTCCCCTCCTTAAGCTAGGTATGCTTTGAGTGTATCTTAAGGCAGGTTTATATCAACATTTTCATTCAATTACTGTGCACTGAGAAAAAAATCCAAAAACAACACTGGAGGGGATGGCAGGATACACATATAGACAGTCTTTCTGTCCCTTGACAGAGATACAGATGACCAGCTTTTTACAAAATGAATCTTTTTTTTTGGAAAGTTTTCTGAAATGTGCCAGGAAGGACTGCATGGGACTAGTGTTTTGTGCTGTATCACCTGGCAGCCAGTGCTCTCCTTGGAGCAGATGTTTGGATTACTTCTGCTCGAGGCAACACAATTATCATTTCAGAATTTGTATTCAGTAGGTTCTGCTATCTTACAAAAATTGTTACTGGCTACAGTTTTTGAAATATCAGAATTTATTTTATCAATGTACCTTTTAAAAAACATTTAATTACAGTTACATTTGGCGGCCCCTTTTAGAAGCAACCTACTGATGTGTTAGGTACTATGCAGCTTGTTACTCACCACAGTGTGGTACAGCCACAGTTAGAAGATATTGAGACAGTTTGTTTTTTTTCTCCTGCTTTCTCTCCTAGTGCAAATTCATTTCAAATATCACATGTGATATTAAAGAGGAGATTGATAAACGTACAGTGGTTAACATACTGATTTGAGGCAAAATTATCGTAGCTGAAACTAATCTGAAAAGGTGGTTCAGAATGAGAGCCAACATATCTGTTCAAGCAGTAAAAAAAAGTATAGGAGTATTTCCTACTCAAGATGGGCAGAAATCCGAGCAGCTTTTGCAGAACTGGAGAAGGAAGGATTAGCATAGAGTGTGGGAAGGAGAACATAATTACATAAATTGCGTGATCCAGTCAAAGCTATATATAATTTTGTTTCTCTCCTCAGATGAGAGGCCATTTGTACAGGAAATATATTTGGTCTTTATGTTTTGTTATTGAGCTGGTATTACTGCTTACAGCACTCCGTAGGGTTGGGAGTACATCCAAAGCTGATCTCCAAAAATCCTGTGTTGTATAAAATGGCAACTATCAGAAATCAATAGGGACTAATTGCTGGGTACCATGTCAGATTTTAAATAATGCAGGTATGGGCCATCCAAAGGCCAGCCGAATTGCTTTTGCCAATAAGGCCCCACATTCACTCTCAATGACTGGCATAGATGATTATTTTCCTAATGGGCTCCATCTTTCCTTGGCTGAAGCTCTGTGATTCGTACCACCCACTACTGAACCACCAAGCTGCAAAATGTATGATCTGGATTTCATTACTGGCTTAAAGCTTGGCTTACTGCTTATATGGCAGACTCCGTCATATAGAGCATAATACCTTTCTTTTTTAATTGTCATTCTATTTCTTAAGCGAAAGCTTAAACTGGTCATATGGCAATATAGTCAATTACTATAATTTATAGTGAATTACTACTCAATTTCATATATGTATTATCCCCCTATAAGCTTAACAACAGTGAAATATTTAGGATCAATTACAGCCTTTCCAGGAAGTTTCAAAAAGTCACCTTAAATAGTCATCCTGGCAACTTTAGACTGTAAACCACAGAATCTGGCACTTCCTGAGGAATAAAACTATTACAAAGTAGATCTAGTGCCAACAAGTCTTTAGACTACTCTATTATATAAATGCTTTTTACAGGCTTACAGATCTACTTTCATCGTTTCATTAATGAAATTATTCCCGATAGTCATAAAAGCAAATAGTTAGTTTTAAATAGTAAGTATCAATCCAGATTTTTGTTGTGTACCTTCTGATTAGCAGACAGCCAAGCATATTCTTTGCCAAAACTGTAGTCTCCAAGAGAGTCTTACTCCTTTTCTCACTGCTGCCAAAGCAAGTCAAAAATGGGAGTACAATGAGTTTGTATGTCTGAATAAGATTTGGAGTTGGCTTGCTGTCTGCTTGCTTTCCCTTTAGAGCACATATCCAGTGTGATTCACTCCTCTTCTCCTTGCCTACTTCAAGCCCCTTTTTATGACTTACAAAGCTTCACAAATATGTTTTATGGAGTTATAGATGACCTGAGGGCAACTCCAGAAAAGGCCGGATTTTCTGAAAACCCCTGTTTTGTTGTGAATTGTTTTAACTGCTGCCATACTTTCCTAAAGTCAGACAGATCTCCTTTTTGGCAGATTTGACATCTTCATCAATTTTCCTAAACAGATTGCCTCATCAGAGTCATAATACAAAAGGGAACCTTGAAAAGACAAGAGCTGCTCATTTAGTTGGAAAACAATGTCAGGCTGGGGAGAACAGGATGTTCCAGGCTACCCAAATGGAAACCACCAGATCCTTTATGGTTGTCTTTGGTTACAAGCAAGAAGAAGTAAAATACAGGGGGAAATATTGCTCAGTGAATACTTATTTTCTTTCTGTTTTCTCGGACTTAAGAAAACTTTTGTTTGAGAATCCTTTGGAAACCTGACCCAAGTGTGTATCTCATCCCCCTACAACTGGTCAGGTTTTAATACCTGAATCCAAGTAGCCACAGTGTCTAAAGTGTGATCTGCTTATGCTAGGTAGAGTTTTTAATATACTTGTGTTCTCATTCAAGTATATTGTATATTTTTAGAGTAATTAATTTGAGCTACCCTAATAGTTTGTTTTTGAGGTTAAGCAAGGCTAGTTTTAAGCTCTCAAGTTTCAGCTCTAAAAAATGTCCCGAAGAATCCATTTCAGAATGGTCTAATTCTTGGAGGGTGAATGTTTGGTTCCTAGGGAAGAAAAAGAAAGCCCTTAAGAGCTACTTGCTTATTCTCATTATCAAAGTCTCAAGAAGACCAGCTAGAAGGAGTTGTCCATTGCTGTATGGTATTCTTATATCAGGTGAGAAATTTCCTCTGAGTATGTAGTCTCATTACAATTACTTCTTGTCAAACTAAAACCAACTAGGAGAATAACTCCCGAGTTGCCTGCTCCCGATTCAGCAATCCTTCTGCCAAGCGCAGCTGGTACAGAGCCTCCGCTCCCTGCAAAGTGCAGTGTGGCCACGCAGACCCCGGAGCCCCCTCTGCCCACCCCTGCAGCTGTGCAGCCACCTTTTGCAGCCCCGTCTATGGAAGCAACTCTCGTGGAGCCTCCCCATCCTGCCAGGTACAAGGATACCCACCACAAAAAAGGCACAATTGAAACTCTATTTTTATTTATAGATTCACCTGGTTTTTTTTGATGACAAGGTGGAGCAGCTCACAGGCATCTCTTGACCCTCATGCTGCTCTGGAAATTAGCATAACAATTAGCAACTAGAGTAGCTATTAGACAAAATTTGGAAAAGTACTTCAGAAATCATAGTGGCCTTTAGATAGAGATGGAGAAACTAAAATCATGGGTAGGAGATTTGATAGGAAGGTGACTTTGCTGAAGAAAGTTAATGACATGAATTGAATATGTGGTATTGAAGTATGGAAGGAAAGGGTGAAATAAGATTTTGGGGGAAGGTGTAGCACAGTGCAAGTAATATATATGGTTCTTTGATGTTAAGCATTTTATTTACATGCCTTTCAGAGGTTTGCCACCCTTGTTATAATAGGCACATTTATTGAATTGACCAGTAGGCTGAAGTTTTTGGGGAAGAATATGTGTGTTAACTTGTAAAGTGACAGGACATTAATTGTTCTTACCAGTTACCAATAGGGAAAGATAGCTCCCATCACCTCTACCCCTCAAAAAAAAAAAAAAAAAAAAAAAAAAGAGAGTGGGTAGAAAAATAAGAAAAGTCCTTATTGGAGTGGGCACTGGGTACAAGAATGGGGATCTGGGTATCTGGGTTCATTTAATTTTAAGAACCAATTTGTAGAGTCTTTCTAACATGCAGATTGGCATGCTAGTAATTAATAATCACTGATATTAAACTATACCTGTTCTTTTTTTTTATGGCTAAGGAGGGCTTTTAAAAATCCTTAAATGAACTCCTCTTGAGCTTTAGCTACCATTGCCGAAGGCGTAATAAGTGTTCAATTAATTAATGAATTTTTTTTTTCTCTTACTGCTTTTGGGCAGGCATGATACATCTATCTCTACTTGTGAAACAAGTTCTTTCAGTAAAATTTCAAGCAGTCAGTCTAAATCATCCGTAAGTCGTTCAAGGTAAATCTTTCAAAGTATGAGTACAGCAGACTGCCTAGGTGTAAGCAAGGTTTTCAGGCAGAATTTCTGAATGTAAATCCAAGCAGCAATGTACAAATGACATTGTTTGGAGTTTTTTTTTTACTTCTGAAGTGATTGAAAAATACACAGAAATTGTGTGGACATAGTCTTGACATTTTAAGATAGAGGTGGGGTTACGGATTCAGTATTGTAGAGTTGACTTTGGAGCCATCATGTTTTTTCATGGCTCTTGCCTCTTCACATTCCTTCTACTTTAGGTAATAATTAGGGGAAATGCAAAGGGGCATGAGGAACATGCTGAATTTTGAGAAGGTGGCTAAAAATATACCTGCTGAAGTTGTATCAGCAAATATTGCAAAGTCTTTTATGTAAAAAAAACTTACTTTCAGGTAACTTACTTTCAGGCCTCCTTCTGTCAGTACCGTGGAGAATGAGTTAGGTCCACGTGGGCCATCAGTCATGGGCAGAGGATTCAGTGGGAACAACCCAGGGGTGAGAGAGAGTCTGGGATGAGCAATTTGAAGGCTGATAGATGTGGTGAATGGAAAGTTTTTTTTGTAGGTAAAATCAGAATTGCTGCTTTCTGTGTTAGTGTTCAGGGGGCTAATATGGTGCCCTGACATCTCTATGAGCTGGGAACCTACAATAGCATCACTTTATGGCGGTTAGGGCAGTCTAGTATTGTGCTCTGTCAATCTTTTCTGCTTTCTCTGTGTTCTCTGTTGGTTCAAAGTTTGTGTGCTAGAACAGTACTGCTGGGAAGTCCTTTGGGAAGTCTGCCCAAGCCTGGACCTGCTCCTGTTCCCGTTTTTTCTCCTTTCAAGCAGAGATCAAAAATTAAGAGCATGGCTGCTGCTGCTGTGTCTGCTGCCATTGCTGTCCGGGCCAGGTAGACATCAACTTTAATGGAACTTTTACAGCTTAGTTTAAGAAAATTCAGGCTCAGACAAGAATAATTGCTCCCTGGCAGGATTGCAAAATCAGCTCTTTCACAATAGCATGGTGGCAACTCATTAGAATATGTCCAAGGCTCCTGAGTCCTTTTAGCTTAGCTCCAAACTGCTCTAAACCTTGGTGAGTAATTCTGCTTCTCTGATCCTCGTGATATCCATGATACGGTTCAGTCAGTAAACTAATTGAAAATAACAGTTAAGTGATATGGGTGCCAAAGAATAATCTGCATCTTTAAATAACTTCTGGATGCTGAAGACAGTAGAGAGATTTGCATCTATATCTTTAGTATATTACTCTTTGTAGGGGTTATTAAGACCAGTGGTCTCAACGTTGTTGGTTGTACACCTCAATCATTTAAAAAAAATAAATAAATTTGAATGTGCACTCCCAATATGTGTATTTATTACTTCCTAAAATATTAGTAAAGTAGTTCATGCATATAATTTATATACATTATGACACATACACAAAAGCAGAAATTAGAAAAGGTGAGAAAAAGATTAAATAAACCCATTTTTTTAATGGTAAAAATATATATGCTTTTCACACTGCAGTGGGATTTTTGGGCACATCAGGATGTGTGCATGCCACTTTGGAGACCGATTTAGATGGCATTTCTAAGTCAGTCATTCGAGGTTCAGTTTATCCATACTGCTACAGAATTTGTAGAACTTTTCATTTTTTGGGGCTTTCAGTTAGTCCCAGCCAACTTGAACTCTGTTCAGTCAGCTGGTTTGTTTACACGGTCTTTTTAAATGCTTGTCAGACTCTCTGAACCTAGCGTCTACCGTTCGCTCTTGGATGCCCTGCTCATCACCCCTGTCACTAAACCTCCTCTGCAAGCCATTGGGCCCTCCAGGAAGTCAACAAGTGCTCTGGAGCTGCAAAAGAGCAAAAGGTATCGTCTGAGTGCTGCACAAGGTTGGCACCGAGGACTCGCAAGAAACCGGCTTCTCCTTCAAAGCCTGTTTCTATCGTCTGCATGTTTTCAGCAGTCTGTTTGTTGTGGTTTTTGGCACGATGTCCCCTGATCCTGAATCCTGTTGGTTTCACCTCTTTGCAGAACTAATCTGCACCTTGGTCCTGCCGGTGTTGTTTGTGCAAATCCACCCTACTAAGCAAAGCGGGCATCTAGTGCACTTCTGAGATGCACGGTGCTGTTTGTGTTGCATTCAGAAGCTCACGGGGGAGGCACTGTCACTCCAAATAGCTGACTGGAGAAGAAACAAGATATTCTGGCTCAAAACCTCTACCCAGATGAATTATTTGCAACAGTTCTTTGAGCAAGCAAGCCGTGTGTTAGGCTGTGAGGGTGCTCCTGGAACAAAGAGCTGCTATTTTTCAAAGCCCATTTTTAATGTATGAAATCAAATAACTGGCATGTGGTGCAGCAAATAAGTGTTTTAAAAAATTATTTGCTGTCTAGACTCTTTGTTCCAACATTGATTCTGTTCAGTGCACAGGACTTCTTGTTTCCTGACTGCAGCTATGTTAACACTACCTCCTGTGAAAAGCTGCTTTTATGTAATTGACTTCAGCCTCAAAGGAGAGAAACTTTGGGCGTATTTTAAAGGACAGTACATAGTAAGTTGTACTAGGGAAGAAATAATCTGTGTATTTTCATGTATTTGCATTTTCACAAGAATCATACCCTTAAGGAGATAAAGCCCAATTAAAGATAGAGCTGAGATCCACTTGATGTAAAAAAAAAAAAAAAAAAAGAAAAAGAAAAAGAAAAAAAAAGTCACGTGTTAGTTCTTTGCCTCCTATTTCATGGCTTGCAGGGTGACCTGAGTCACTAGAAAAGGCTAAAGCAGCCCTGACTTCAGGGAGGAAAATGGTGATATTAGACACACACAGATCATCTTTTCCTTTTATCTTTTTTTTTTTTTTTTTTTTTTTTTTTCATTGTGTGTGTGTGTTCTTGCATCCAAAGGGAAATCTTCTGTAGCAATTCTGATATCTGTGTACTGCTGGTAAAGTCCAGGACATGCTGCCAGCACAACTTCAGTCTTCATCTATGCTCTTTGTTTGCTGATATTTTAGTAAGGAAAACAATGGCAGTGAAAACAAATTCTCTGACTTTCCTTTTTTCCTTCACTCACTGATGTGCAGAGTTTGTAGCATAAGCTGCAAATGAAGTTAGATTGTTACAAGAATGTAAGCATTTGCCTTGCTGACTCTGAAGCTGTCTTTATGTTTATGCATCTTTCGCTCATGATACAGGGACAAACATATTGGGGTGACAATTTCTACTTTCCTTGTTATCAACTTGAACTTGAACTGAAGGAAGAAGAGGTTGCCAGTAGATGGAGCCATAGAAACGAGGCTTTGTGCTGCCTCATCCCAGTGAGAAAAGGAGCACAAACTCACTGTATAGATTGAGAAACATGCAGCAAAATTAGAGATAAAAGACAAATTATGCTTACAATTCACTGTCAATATGTAAATATTCTCCTGTAAGTTCAACACATAGCAATGAAAACCAATCAATTATGTCAGAAGGAGAAAAAATAATAATGCTGAAAAATATTTTAAACAGCAGCTCACTTCATCCCACAACGAAATAGCTGGTAAGGAAATAGAGCTGAAGTCCTATGTCCATAAAGAGATGAGGGTATGACATAACAGGACTTGTTACAACTTGGGATGACATACAGTAACTTGTTCAAAACAACTGGCACAACCAAGACAGCCAAGTAAATAAGATTAAACAACTTCACGTTTTGTGTTTTCCATCTCTTTGTTAAAATACCTTACATGAAAGGGTAATTTACCTGTTTTACTGAGGTAGCCGTGTTTTGTTTGCATTATCTTCAGGCTAAAACTCAAGATGGTTGCAACTACAGCAAAAACAGGGCTTAGGTCTTGTTCTGCAGTAGAGTTTCTTCGGAAGTATTTCTATTTCATACCTTTCACTTGACCATCTCTATTTCGAAAAGCTTGTTGTCTTAAACTTTGCTGAACTGGGTAGCTGCCAGAAAACTTGGCTTTTTTCTGACTGATGCAATATCACTTCTTAACTGGCTTGAAGTAGCATGAAATATCCACACGTTTACTTCTCCCAGATCCCTCAGAAATGTTTTTTGCTTGTTTTGTTTTTGTATAGCATAGCCATGCAATCTTTCACTAATTTAAGTTCATCCTGTTGGCAACAGAGCCTTAAGTTTTATAGTTCTGTGTTTTTTTATTTTCCTTTTTTTTTTTTCTACATACATATATAAAGCAAAATAAATGTATTTATTACACTGCATTTCCAAGAACTGGAGGTTTTGCTTAAAATTAAACCGTGTGGCAAAACTCAAGTTTTGGGAGACATTAGCAGAAATGGGCATAGACATGACTTTTGCTTTACGTACCTGACACAAAGCCATGGAGAATTACTTGAAAAAAAGAGTAGACTGGTCTTGTGAGATAATCACCAGGGTTGACTCTGAAAATATTTAGTCTGAAAGAAGTTTTGAGTTGTTTCTGTGCAGACCACTGCTTATGTAAGAGTTGCATATGTCCTTACTGCAGCTCAGTATGGAAATACTTTCACCCACGTGACTTTCCCTCATCTTATTCTATTTTGCACTTTCTTGCAAGTTACTGGAACACTATTGGGCGGGCTAGCATAAGATCTAAACACCAGTTTTAAAAATTGAATGAGACTGTGGGTTTCCAGAGGGATAGGAACAAGGTCAGCACTTAGTATTTATTGTCTTCTGTTTGTTTATTGTTGCACCAGACAGTTTTTGCAAAAAAGCATATGTATTCCCCCATTCATACAGTTTTATCACTGTTTTCATGCCTGGCTTTTTCTGATCTTCTGATTTGTGTGTGTGTGTGTATTTTAGAAGTTGTTTATTCAAGTTTCTGGATTATGCTTAATGCTTGCTTGGGATGAATAGATAACCAACAGGCAGCAATATTTAATACCAGGGAAATCTTACTTGTTTGTTAAACTATTTTGGTTTTAGAAGCCATAAAGCAGAATAAAGCCTATCACATTCCACATGGTTGTGCCAGAAACCAGCAAGAGTGATTTGCTTGCTTTTTTTTTTTTTTTTTTTCCTTTCTTCTTGTCTTGTTTTTGTCTTAAAAGATTTAGTGTTCTTAAGGGAAAATAACCTCACAGAATTCCTGGCCATGTGAAGAAAGCATTTACAGACTCATAGATATTATATGATCTTTCCTGTCAGCAGGCTTTCTCAGACCCCAGGAGACTTGTTCCTGATTCACGCGGTCATTCTGGACAACAAGCAGGAGTTAAAATATCATTTGTAATCCAGAGAACTATTAGGAAAATGTTTATGTACCAAACTGAGCTGCTAGTACCCATTGGGGTTTGGATGATGATATTTACAGATGGATACCCTGGTATCTTGGACTTGCGTTGGAGAAAATCCTGCCAAGCCTCTAGAGCCTGCTTAGGAAAGTCTGAGATGTGTCCCTTGTTACCATTTCAGCAGTGTTAGATGTTACAGGACAGCAAGCTGTATTTCATTATCAGCTAGGACCATAGCTTCTCCTTCGGCTAATAACAGCATGAGACAGTTATCTTTTTTTAAAGCACGTATTTCTGCTGGAATGCTCTGTACAGGAGTTTCCATGGAAGGATGGGCGGAGGTTTAGGCCTCTATAACCCCAAACCATGTGTTTTTCTTCTCTCTGACTTCTGGGGAGAGAGAGGAGAGGGTGTCAAAACCTCTGCATCCAAGAGGGTTTTCCACTGCTGATTTCTTGAAATGCCTCTGAAGTATACTCAGCCTCGTGTCAGTGCACGTGATTTTGGGAAGGAAGCAGGCACTGCATAGGTGCAGATATCCAGGAGTGGTCCCTGAGAAACTGGTGCTCCTTTCACGTGTGACCTGGACCTGCTTCCTTATGCACAGGCTCCTCACCTATCACCCTTCTGTAGCATCCAGGAGGCTCTTAGTACCATGTCCTGACAGGGACTGACAGCTGGCAAATGTCTTTATCTCCCAGTCCTCCAACCAAGTAATAGCATGTAATGCAGTGTTTGGTATCTGGGGAGGAAGATGAGGAGAAAGAGTGAGGAATTACTTGCTTTTTAGGTGATGTTGCCTGTTTCCATAGTGTTCCTGTTGGTTAGGAAGAACTAAGTCTGAGGAGCCTGTTGTGAGCTCTGGGTAAGTTTGTACTGGTGCTGGAGTCTGGTGTGTGTCCCCAGCTCTCAGACTGAGCCCCAGAAAGTTCTTTATTTTCCATAAATGTTGTTGTTTGCCAGTTTTCTTTGGTTGATTTTTCTGTTTCCCTTGCAAGCCACTTCCAGAATTGTTTCATCTTTCTATAACTTAATAATTAAACACATCGTGGATTTTCTGGTCACAGGGCTTGAAATCAGCTGGGCTTGTGTTTCGCTGTTCCTTCTTGCAGGGCTGAAAACCCTTGCCCAAAGCTTGACAGGAGAGTTTTTTTGACATCTGCTAAGCAATATCATCTTTCTTAAAATGAAAGTGACTGTCTTGGTTACATATCGTTTGTATTTTGAAGAGGGACCCAAGTAGTTTTCTACCCTAAGTTTAGAACATCATTTGCAGTGATAATGTACATTAACTTTCATCATGGAAAACTTTATTTATTTATTTTCTGTAAGTATTCATCAGGTGGAGGAGGATTATTTAAGTGTTACAGAACAGAGTTAGAAGGTTAAAACTATAGCTAGGAGATAAGCTTGGCATTATCAACAGCACAGGTGTTTTGACATTAAAATGTACTTAACCTGAACCTGACTTCTGAGTGTCACTTGGACAGTCTGAGAAATCTACTCACGTGGAGCTTGGTGAATACGCAAGCTTTATCAGTTTATCATTCCTTCCTCAGTCTTCTAATGACAACACTGAAAAAAGACAACACTGAAAAATACACTGTAGTTTTCTTCCTTAATCTATTAATTTTCTTGAATTTCTGCATTTATTTTTTTTTCTCTTTAAACCATGTATTCTCTCAGGAAAAAATCAAGGTTATTCTCAAATCTTTTTAGGCTTGCACTTACTTAAAAATCTTAAGTAACCTTAGAAACATTGTCAAAGTTTTTTTGTAATAAACGAGGAAAACATACTTTTTATTTACAATGTGAAGCTCAGCTTAACTTAAAAAAATAAATAAATAATCATACAAGAGCATCATTCTTTTGGTTGGCCTCATGAACCATTTTTTTTTTCTGCCTGGTATGAGAACAAAGATTTAATAGTAAGAACAACAGTCTGGGTCATCACTGTACAATATCTTAGTGCGCTACAAAACAGTAGCAGAGCTAATTTTGGGGTTTGTAGAGTCTCTTCGTGGAAGATCTGTTTGTTTTTGAAAGACATGGAACAATTAAAAACAATAGCTGAAAGTTTGATCATTTCCCAGCATAGATGGAGATGAAGTAAAATGTTTAGGAATTAATTTTGAAGCATGAATTTGAATAAAATTAGCATATAAAAGGTGGAATATCTCCAGGGTTCTTTGAAAGTGAGACAAGGAGGTATATATCTTTCTCTCTAAGGAGAATGCCATATCGTGCTTGCAGGCAACTGTTTGATTAGGAGCTGTAATTCAGGAAACACAGCGTGTGCACTATTCCCTGCAGCCCACTGTTGGTGGGCAATGTTACACTGGAGAGATGTGCCAAGCATCTTGCCTGTTAAATTAACTGGCTGTAGTGCAGGCTTAAGTTTATTCAACTCTTACTTGAAAAAAAAATAAAAAAAGGCACAGAGTGCAAAGGGTGTCCAAGACCTGTCAGAAGTTTTGGTGTGAGGCCAGCGTGATGCCCTCTTTCAAAAAATCATGGCTTCAAGCTTTTCCCTTGCGAAGCTGGTATTTAGGATAGTACATAATCCATCTCAGGTGGTCACAAATCACAGGGGGTTTCATACCTGTGGTTATCACTGTCTTTTAGGCTGGAGTCTTTACAATTCCTCTTTTCAGTCTTTTTTGTTTTCTAAATGAAAACCTAAATGTCTCCAGTAATCTCTTGGTTCAGGAACTTGACTAACATGCCATCCATTCACAAGCCTCAGCATTCAGCCATGGAAGTGGTGATGGTGAAGATACAAGTCAGTATTACAACTATCCTTGTAGGCACAAGGCAGCATCTGCTTCCCCTCCTATACATGTAAAACTGCAAATCTGAAGATGAAGCAAAATTTCCATCCTGAGGGAGGTCAGGATGGAAATTTTGCTTCATCTCCAGATTTGCAGATGAAGCAAAGATGATTTGCATCTCCTGTCTTTCCTCCAAAATAGTTGTAGTTGAGGAGCCTCAAAGGCTGCAGTTCACCAGCTGCATGCTTAAGCTGAGTTCAGCTGTTTTCTATGTGGTATTCTTCAGGAAGTGATGCTTTAAGGTGGAGTTCCAGCCTTTGGTGGCTATGCTTGGCAAGTTGATATTTGTGTTTTTGAGCCAGATTAACAACAGCTATAAATTGATATGAAGTCCAGTGGATGGAGATCACTGACCTTATGAGAGAGTTTTGCCTGTCTAGAATCCCTTTTTGCTCAGTAAGTAGCCTTGTCTGTGTAAAGGCAGCTGGTGGTTCAGCAAGATTTTCTTATTCATGGTTTTAGACAAAGGCAGTAAAATAGGGGCAGGAATTGAAAAGCGATTTGACAAGTGGTGGTGAGTCTTTTAGATGGAGAAGGAATCTTCTTTTTTTATGTTTTAACAGAAAAAGACTGTGTTTTGTGGAAATCTCAAAGTTGTAAAGGGGTTCTGGCTTGGAGCAGGTTTAATGGTTTGTGTCTCACATGTACTCGACTATTTAAAAGGATTTTTTTGTGACGCTGAAGTTGGAGGCACATGCTTTTTTCATACTGGAAGCCAGCCCTAAACTACCTTGTCCTTATGAACCACTGAGCTGCTACTTAATGTCAGATGATGTCTTCCGATCCTTTTTCTTTTATTCTGCAAAGGCATTTTTATGCAGTATCTCTCTGCTGCCTCAAAATCTGTTGTTAGGAAGACTTGTATCCTAAGCTTTTAAGGAGCATAATGTGTGCCTTAAATGCCTCCATTTGCACTGTACAAATGTCTCTGAAAATCTTTAACGTTCAAATGTAACAGAATGCAAGGTCTCACTTGGTGCTTCACTGTACTTGTGAATGCTTCATACAGCAAATCAATCAGAGTATCACTTAGTGACAGCTACCTCTGTTAGAAAAAGCCTTTAATTGCTGTAGCTGTTACCGAGTGTTCAGATATACTCTGTAAACTGTGAATCTTTGCCTTATCCAGCTAAACATACTAAATACATCAATTGCTAACCCTGCGAATCTAGAGGCAGAAATCAAGGTTGTGAACTTGTGTTTTGGCCTCATTATATGTCCAAGTGCTTACATCCAGCATGGTCAAGGCACTGCTGTTAATTTGCAATAAGTGTAAAGTAAAAATAACTCAAGGATTTTTGCTTTCCGAACTTGGCATAATCTATATTCTATTCCATGAATCACCCCAGTGAAATACATACAATATATGTGCTGAAATTTTGTTATTCTTCGACAGAGAAAAGAGTACAAGGATTCTAATGCATCAGCTGATGAGTTTCCAGATTACACAATATATGTATTTGGAATTGTTTTGATTTTATTTTGCAATGCTGTTAAGTTTATTTACTGTTTTGTTTGCAAATGACCTTCAGTAGCAATTACTCCTCTACTCTGAAAATTTTTAATGAAAATATTTGTTTTCAGCTTCCCGAAGACAAATACCCATTGTATGGATACTGTTACGTGGCATAAAAATCGTGTAGTTATAACTTTCTGATTCTTGAACAGTCTTGAGGAATAAGGAGTGAAAATTTATTAAGTAAACAATGGCTACTTACTCTCTATGTGAACCTTAAGTGCCATTTTCATCATGTGTCTTTTTAAATAGCTGATGGAGTTATGTTAACCCTTAAAATACAAAAGCAGATGTAAACTGCTCCAAAGAGGCAATCTAAAATATTGAGTACGTTGTTTAATGAATAAAGAAACTATAGCTTTTTTTAAAACCCTTGGTGCACAGAGGAAAACTGCATTTAAGCCACTTTTAGACTGATGATCTTTATGGGGATCTACCAGTAATCTGACTGAATGAGTATTTGCCCTAATCTCCAAGAAAAAGAAAAAGTTTTGGGGAAAAAAAAATATATATATATATTTTTTTTATAAAAAGTGCTATTGCATTTAATTTGAAGTAAGGATTATGTTTTAATCTGCATCATGCCAGCACCTAACTTTTTAAATTTTAAAGGGATTTAGTTGTCTTTATTGGGTTTTGGAAGAAATTACCCATGTGCCCTTTTCTTAGAGAAACATCTTAAAAATGTATCTGGAATCACTACTGTTTCATCTTCTGAATATTCATTTTCTGAGGTCAATACACAAGAGAGAGGATTTTTCAGCAGGATGTAACATTTGGCAGGCTTTCCACACATATTCTCAAGGACTTGTGCCCAGTCTTTTTTCTTCCATGCTTTGCACGGAGTTGGCTTGGGGTGATCATCAGAACATCGATGATGACAGTGAACGCTGCTCTGTTGCACCAAAGCAGATGGAAGTCACACCACCATTTCACAAACACGTTCACAGTGAGCTCACATTCTAGCAAGAGATGTATTTGATTTGTATCTCCCTTGTTTCTGAACAGTGACTCCATGGAGCCTACCCAACCTGCTGCTTACACAGCCACTTCAGTGAGGAGCATGCCTGCCAGCTATGAAAGCCCAGACACTAGACCTTCTCCCAACAACACCACGTCTGCTGCAGCCCTCAAGCCAACAGGGCCCCCAAGCACTGCTAAGTACTCGGGCTGGCAGCCTGCAAATCAAACAGGTAACTTGCAGTGAGGCTTTTTCTTGTTTGTTTAAAGGTCTTCGGAGAGCTCAGTAATATTTGCTTGACCATGGGTGTAACAAGTGCAGCCTTCAAATGATTATTGGTGTGTATTGAGTACAAGGCAGTTTGGTTAGAAAAGAAGAAAAACAGCATAAAAATTTTGGTAGACTAGTAGCATTCTGTAATTTGTTTGTTTCACAAACAGGCAAAATCCAATGTCGATGGACATTCTATTAAAAATCATGCATAATAGTCAAATATATACAAATACAGTTTCCCACTGTGACTGTCAATCCAACAGAGCATGTTCTCTATGATTTCAGGGAGTCTGAATCAACAGAAATGTTTTCCAAGTGATCTCTTCTGAAGTAGAAGCTTAAAATAAATAAATAAGAGACTAAAACATGAGAGTAGCAACATACTTGGCATTGGTAGGCTTTATCTGTGGAGGATGCCAGTGTTGCACAGTTCAGAGACATGAAGGTTTATTTACAGCAGTTGATTTCTTACAAGGACACTTTACATAGCTGCTACCTTGGAATATAGTTTGGTGATTCTTATCCCTTTATACCAACGCTAAAACATCTTATGACTGGAAATAATATTGTTTTCTTTCCAGAAGCTCCTATCTTAGAACTATATACATATTAAGAAATGCAATACGTGTAATTGTGTATCTACATTTTCATAATATTTCAAGCAGTAATTTTAGATAGTCTCTTAATGTAACTTGTCTCTTAAATTGAATCTGCCTTGGCACTGAACTAAACTTGAATATTAATTTCAAAGGGTCTAGGAAATCTGTATTACTAATTAAATTTTAACTGCAGATTTTCTGGTAATAATGAGGTGAATATTTTTGATTCTCCTTATAAGGAGATAAGATGCTAAAAATGCTTTTTTTGAGTTTTACTCTTAAAGGTTTTCCCTCTTTCAAATATATACAGTTCAGAAAAGGAACTGCAGAGGCCCTGGCATAAAAATAAAGATAAAACATACAGTGTTACCGTTGTATGTTTTTAATGGGGTCTTTTGCACATATCATTAAATTACTGTTGAGACTGGTAAGGTAGGCATTTTGTTTTGGACCTGCAGTACTGCTACCGAGCCTCAAGATGGCAATACGCTGTCATTTCTATACATTGCTTTCAAACATCGAGTATGTTCTTAAGGGCTAGGTAAAGACAGGTCAATTCTTGTTTTCCTACTTTGAGTTACCTGCCATTGGGAAAGAAAAAAAAACAAAACCCGTTTTTAAAGTTACATTTTGGTCATGTGTACTTAAGGCAAACATTGTGGGGAAAAAAGTAATCCTTCGTTTTAAGAGGTGGCTGATTGTCCCCCCCCAAAGTGATTAACTTATTTCACTTGCACAGAAAACACCTGTCAACTTGGGGTTTCAGTAGTACTGCACCAATTTACAATATGTTGGTAGGTGTTTCATAGCTAAATCCTACTACTGTGTTTTACCATTAATGCAAGTCAAATAATTATTTTGGGGGGTGATGACTGCCACATGATAGAGAAAGATTTATGAAGATGGATTAAGTTACACTCTATTCCATGGTTCTATGGAAATCTGTGCCCCTGCACTGGATAATTCAAAAATCTCTCATTTCTCATTAGAGGTTCAAAGTAGATGACAAAGGGGGAAAGCCAGACAGACAAATTTAGTTGTTATGTTCTAGAATAGCTTAAAAAAAAAGATGAAAAGTTAAAGTGAGCTATTTGAGCATATTTAAAATCATTTTATAATGTGGAAACTGCCAGAATTGCAAAGTCTACAATGCTGCTGTTAGTTACTAGGACTTGAGTCTGGCCCTTGCTTTTTTCCATCATTTTCAGAATTTTGCAGGTTTTCCACATATACATACTGAATGAGGAGGGAAGTCTATTTTTAAGTGTTTGCACTTTCTACAGCGCAACCCCCAAGGTGTATGTGTTAAGATCATGCAGTCTGAAATGAAGGTATGAGGCTGCCACATCAGAACCTGTAGCTAGATCACTTGAAGCCCAGATGTGAGCTAAATCTGAGCAGTGTTGCTCCCAATGGCAGCAGGCACAAGGGGGAGACTGACAAAGCATGATGCTGGGTAACTAGCACCTTCTTAGACAAAAGTAGGGAAATGCGTACTGTTTCTTGCATCCCTGTTCAAGGTGTTTTATGACAGTAGAGGTCCTGAGGATGTCAGTTCTGTGCTGTCTTTCTGCCGTAGGGTTCTGGGATGTTATGTGCTAGGAAACCTGGGAATAGCTTGCCTCAAGTTTACTTCCAAAGAAGGAAAAACATCACCCCCTTCAGAAATATTGAGGGAGCCAGAAATAAAACTGTAGTAGGAAGAGACATTGAAAACCTCTTTCCTAAAATGGGCAGCCAGTCTGTGTGTGCTTCTTCCCCATTTGTGGGGCTCCTTTCTGAAATGGTGAGGAATAATGGACAAGTGGGAGATGTCAAAATGCCCTTGGTTTTTGTCCATCTTTTAAATGATCCAGCTTCATCGATCTGAGGCACCTTCATATCACAGCAGTCTGCCCATGAATGAAGAAGTGACATAGCTAGCCACCTGCTAGCCTGACTTTGTAGGTAAAAAGAAGCATTTCAGGAATCAATTGAAATTGTGACAGCTGCTGAGGTGTCTGAGGCTTTTCCAGAGGTTATACAGGTTTCACTGTAAGCTGGCCCCTTAAACCTGCCATAAGCTCACCCACGGCTTTATGTGGCACATATTACCCAAGTCATTCAAGAAGTCAGTATCGCAAAACTGGCAGGCAGGAGAGGCCTAAGCACGGTTACAGAGGAATTACAGCAGGGACTGATCATTTTTCTCAGGCATTTTACAAAAATAAAAATACCCAAGCTTTTTGTGTACCAAAGCTCACTTAATAAGGCTGAACCCAACAGTCTGACAGGTAAAACTTTTTAAATAGTGGAGTGTTTTGATAAAATTAGTCAGATGTTGAAGAAAGACTATAACCGTTTCAGGGCATATTTGGTTTTCAGTCACTAATTCTGCTGTTTGTTTGCAGTCTGGGAGCATGAAGTTTCCTTCAAAGCAAAATTGCCAGCACTTCACAGGCCAAACAAAATTTGGCCTCACAGGTCATGGGTCTGACAGAATTTTAAACAAACAAAAACACCTCCCTCTGAGCCTGATTGATATTGTAGTTGAAACCCAGCCTTGGAAATAATTAGAAGGGAGGCATAATGTTATGCAAATGTGTATATGTTTATCAGTGTGCTGTTAATAACAGAAACTTCTTCAGAGTCTGGTTTTGTAGCTCTAATAGCACTCACTCTTTTAATGATTGCTCTATATAAGATCAAGTCGTTTCCATAGCAAGGCAGATATATCACAGCATTTTGTTTGTGTCTGGGGAAGCTGTAGACAGCTGTTTTATGGCATGGCGTGAATATTACAAGTGATTTTATTTATTAAGATGTCCAACTACACAGAGAAGTCATTTGGTCAGAAGGCATCTTTTAGTTCATTTAGTTCATGCTCCATGTTGTCCTTCTCAAAACCTGTCACCTCCTTGAGGAGAAAAATTGCAATTTTCTTTCTGTGAACAACCTGAAGTGCTGTGTGTGGCAGTGAATTCTCTGTGAAATGGTATTAAGTATTCAAGAAGTTCCTTTTTTTTTTTTTTTTTTTTTTGAAAGCATCTGGAAAAGGTGTTCATTTAGGCAGGGTCCTATTATTATTATTTCTTGAGGATTCCCATTACCTGCCTTCCAGCAAATTGCAGCGTTAGTCACCCAGCGTGAAGGTAACATAATATAATATTCCTTTCTGGAATACAATCCTGATATTATAGGATTCCTCAGTGGTTTGGCAAAGGAAATGAGGGATGGCTGCCCCACTGTTTCTTGTATGCTCACGGGGAGGCTGGATCAGCAGGATAAAAGCTGGCTTGTCAAACAGAGTCTCATCTTTGGCAAATTGGGTGCACAAAGAGGTGAACATCTGGGCAGGTGGAGCATATACACGATGAAGTGGTCGAGTGCATGTAGGCAGCGGTTTGAAAAGAACACGTTTGCCATGAGCTTCTCTTGTCTGTGTTGTTAATTTTTTTCAGTTGTTGCAATAAGTCAAATTGTGGCTACTGCTGTGTGTTAAATACATTGGCTAGGATTTATAATAGCCCTCATTTTGTTCTTGAGTTACGATGCTCTGTTGAGCTATGATGTTCAGTTCACCCACCAGAGGGAGAAGCTTTTTAACATGATTATATTCAATCTACCAAAAATAAATAAATAAATAAAAATGCCCGCCAGTATCCCAGCTACATCACAGCAAGTTACTTTACAATTTCACAGCTAACTATTGCCGTACACTTAGGTAGCACCATTCATCCCCAAAGCATTTTACAGTCTTGGTGCCATGTGCAAGCACGTGACACATGCGCAGGCATTGCTTTCACCCACCAAGACCACGCAGTCACTTCTTCAGCGAGACGTAACAGCTGCTTGTCAGCACGCTGTAACACTCCACGGCATCTTGAAAGGAAGTGAATAGCACCGTGTCAAATTGAAACTGCTGGGACAATTTAAGAAAGCACAATTATCCAATAAATGCAGTTACCCAAACTGGAGTTCAGCCAGGAGACGAACTGTTCTCGCAGAAAGTGCAGCAGGATCTGTGATGGGCTGGAGCAGTCAGGACTTTCGGACTGCATTTCTTGTGCAAGATCGCCTCCTCTTTCCTGGCATGCTCCAAATGCTGTTGTTGGAGGTGGAGCTGCTGGCACAGTGCTGACTCGTGTGGGCAAAGCCCTGCTTTGCTGGTGGGGTCCAACGGGACCGCAGCCCACAGCTGGTATAGCTGGAGGCCAGGCGAGCCAGCACGCTGCTTAGAGAGGAGGTTTTTGCCATAAACACTGGCCTCCCTCCTCCGGGGCTTGGCAGCAGAGCACGAGGATGGGATGGGAAGGGTTTGCAATACAAGTGCCCAAAGCTCAGGGTGTTAGGTGACCTGTTACCACGTATGCCAACTTCC